AAGCTCAAGGATACGGTATCCAAACTTCCATACATGTGCTGGTATACATGCATGTTGGTTTGTTTATTATCAGTGGCCGGTGTTTCCCCTGCCCATTCAAACCTGAGGTGGCCCACCTCGCTACTTTCAGTGACCACCTCGCTCAATTATTGCCAATATCACCACCTTGCTGTGAAGATTGGCAAAAAAGGAATTTTTGAAAATTTTTCATTTTGTGTATGAGCGTTTTCCTTTACCTCCATGTATCAAGAACTCACAATTTCGATGTGTTTTTGGAATCATCGCTGCATTCTTTTCAGTTTGCAGACTGCATAAATTTGTTTCAGTCATCAACTTGAATTGTTACCACCTCGCTCAGTTCATTAGCCAGGGGAAACACTGTCAGTGGCAGATCAAATATTTTCCAAAGGGGATATCCGCTCCGTTCACAAACTACCGTCTCACCGGCAAAGAAAGTACAGTTGGGGGTGACGGACCGACGCCATCTTGCCTGACTGCAATTTTACCGCAACGTGCGGCCCTGTACCAGTACCACTGCATGTACATAGTACAAATCCCCTGGTGTACATGTACATGTACGCGCGTCACACACAAGGAACGTGCGCGTCAACCAGCTAAATGTCCCTTTTCTTCAAATACTACTTCCAATTTACCAATTGTTAGTTCGCATTTTGTTTGCAATTGGTTACACATCTGTGGATGGGTGCAAACCAGCTAATCTGGTTCCCTGACCTATAAATTGCTCGGTTTCCTCTGAAGTGGAATCAGGGAAATAGACTGCAAGAACAGCATTTCTATCTTGTTTTTTTTTCTCCAGCATCTACTCTTTTGTGATTATAGTTGCTATACTGACCCTCAAATCCATCCATTTCTAAAAATTACAGCAAAAGGAAATATTGTATAATTATAACCCTTCAGACAATTTACTAGGCCTTTTTGCTAGGATGTACAATGTAGCCTCAATCCTGCAAAATCCTCCAATTGGCCGCATGGAAAATATGCAGGCCTACATGTAGCCTCGATCCTGCAAATTCCTCCATTATTTCTTGAATATGGTCCGTGGAGGGGTGACCACTGCCTGAATCCTGCAAAATCCTGCGGCAGTGCCTGTCAATACGTTGAGGCTTGGCCAGTGACATCCTGGAGCAGTGCGTAGGATTTCAAGCATAATGCAAGCCTATGTTTATGCATGGCTGAGCAAAAACCGACACAAGGTCCGGCCCAAGACCTTGACAACCTGCATCCTACTAAATCAGTAACGCAATTTTGCCATGTAACCTCAATCCTCCAAATTCCTCCACTTTGGCAAAGTGGATTTTGAAGGATTCAGGGCGGTTAGGGTTCATGTAATTTTAACTACCCTCGGTTAGTACCGGTGGGTTGGAGGTGGTACCGTAGTGCTGCCCATTATTCCAACAATTTAGTATTCAATCAGTCCAAACTGTGTTGACCGAATATTCGGATATTTGAAACTGTCAGCTACAACCGCATGCTGCACGCCGGTAAAAAAAGTGCACAAAGAGTGTGCCAGTTGAAATGGGTATGTGGCGATCGATCTTTTTGGGCAACTGGAGTATTTCTAGTTAGTATTTTATAAAGTTCTGTAAAAGGGCTTTAAACTGCTAAAAGGAAGTGCACAATGAACCGCGGCCGACAAAAAAGTTCCCGTCAACAAAAAAGTGTCATATCTGACAATAAAGCGCCACAGCTTTACAATAAAAAAATTCACAGTCGTGCGCACATGTACATGTACGTGCGTAGTTTTTGTTTTCAAATATTCCAACCGGCAAAAGCCTGGGCCCTTTGAATATTCGGTTGATCGAATATTCAAGTATTTGATATATATCAAAGTTCTGCTTCACACAATTTGTTTGCTACCTGAAAATGCACTTTACAATGTACATGTACAGCATGTGTATAAATTTGAAGGGGCAATATGTGATGTGATCAAGCTAAATGAGTCGTTTGTCAGGAATTTTCATTTGGAGATACGGTACAGGCCAAAAAAAGGGCCACTTCATCACATCACTTCACTTCACATCTATTGGTGTTCCGACTTCCATAATTTTTGAACTAAAAATGGTATCAGCATGCGGTTTTCTCAGCAGTATTGCTGAAATTGTGCTCTTTTCAAATCTGTTATAAAAAAAATATTGACCGGGGTTGACAAACGAGTCATTTACAGTGTTCAACTGTAGTTCGATCTCATCACATATGTTGAATACTGATAGTACCATGAAATCAAACCCTTGGAAAGAGGCAGTATGTTTTTCTTGATGTAATTCACCATTGATACAATGAACCGGTGACATTTACATTGCCGTCCATGTAAATCATACAGTTTAAATGTATAATATTACTTGCCGCCCGTGTCCTTCATGGACACTGAAATGTCTGGAGAAGTACTTGGGGGGGGGGGGGGTGGAGGGGGGGGGGGGTGGGCATGCAGTGTGCAGTTGCGTTAGAGGTGTTGATCGAAGTCACTCACCATGTAATTGCAGTGTCAGGTTGTCAGAAGGTGCATATTGGTTTTGTTTTTTTGACCACGCCTCCAAAAATATGTAGGCCTACTGATGTGTGTACAAATATTTACATACACGTACACGTACTTTACATACCTGTACACATGTACATGTACATTTACATACATGTACATGTATAAACATACAACTGAAACCCCTTCTCCCCCCCCCCCCCCCCAAAAAAAATAGTAAAATATCTAATGACATGAATGATGCAATATTTTTCCAAACATGTACTGGTACATACTGTACATACTATACATACTTTGAGATTTTTCTGTCTGCATATTTTTGCATACTGTCTAGATGCACAAGATTTGCAAGTGGCTTCGCAATACAACAGTTTGTATTATAACACCTCACCCACAGATTCTGTGTCTTGATTGGCCGAGAGCGAGTCACATGTTATTTTCTAATTTTGCTATCTTTCTGTGCACGGCCAAAAGTACTATACCCGTAGCAACCAAAGTACTATACCATTAGCAACCAAAGTACTATTTCCACGGCGCGGTATTTGTGTGCAAATGCATGCTGGTGTGCGCGTTGCGCGTAGCGCGTATTGTTCCAAAGAGAGCGCGCCGCAGACTTGGGTTCAAACATTTTGTGAAGGGGTAGTTTGGAAGAGAGACATAGGCCTACATTTTCCTCCAATTTTGTATTGAAATTGAAGTTTACATGTATTTCAACTGTGTTCAGATTTAAATAATTTAAAATATTAAAATCAAGCAGAATCTGTGGGTGAAGTGTTATAAAACAAATATTGAATGCTTTATCTCGTGGTGAAGTAAAACTAGCCTCCCTCGGTGATCCATGGACCATTCTATTTTCCCTCGTCTTCGCCTCGGGAAAATAGAATGTCCATGGATCACCTCGGGAGGCTAGTTTTACTACACCACTCGAAGCATTCAATATTTGTATACTGTTTTGTACTATGTACGTGTACCCCGGTACAAGCACATGCATACTTTACATTTAAAGTTTGTTATTTTTTAATTTAAAAATGGCCTGCTTCTTTCCCCTTACTCTTTCGAGCCTTGCGATCTATGTATGTACATTTGTTCCAAGGTACATTTGCACAATGTTTGCACAATGCATAGGCGTAGCCGAGAGAGGGGGGGGGGGATTTTACCACCACCCCAATATTTTGTAAAGACTGCCTTTTTCCATTCAAATGCCCTATTTTTTTCAACATTTTGAACAGCGCCCCCATCCACAGATGGTCCAATCTCAAGACTCATACTGTACATGTACCGGCACATTTGTTTATGGTGTAAATCAAGGCTTTTCTTTTGTTCCTCTTCCCTTTCCCGTTGTATGCACTAATTGAGGTCATCCTTGATTTGGTTCCTGTCCTCAATTCACCCATGATGTTGCACGTGTGTGTCCTCGATTTACACCACAAACAAACGCAATGTATTCTGCTAGATACTGCCATACCCGGCCCCTTTTGGGAGCACAAATGTTGTTTTTTTTCATTCACTTATATTGATTTGTCATTGTCGTGCCCCAAACTGTCCTCCCATAACACAACATAATACAACTATGTACATTTAGGCAGTACTGTCTGATGATTTTGAAGGATTGAGGCGTTGGGTATCCTTCATTTGAACCTACCGTAAGTGCATAATTTTGGAGGATTGAGGTGGTTCCTACAAAAAGACCTGAGGGGGTTAAGGTTTTAAACGATATGTTTACAGGTGCATGTTTATTGTGTAAATCGAGGACACATATGTGCAACATCATCAATGAATCGAGGACAGAAACCAAACCGAGGACTCCTCGGTTGGAAAACGTGTACAAAACCAATGAAGTACCGTACAAAGGAAAAGGGAAGAGGAACAACAGAAACTCCTGGATTTACATGTAGTTAGTGCAGGTGCTAGTATTAAAGGGAATGTACAACATTTGTTTTTGCTGCAATTTTTCAGAAATAAATGGATTTGGAGGATTAGTATACTGTCATAGCAAATATTGTTAAAATGACTTGTTTCACGTTTTGGGCTTGTAGATGCTGAAAAAACCAAGAAAACCTTTCATGTTCTTGTAGTCTGGTTCCCTGACCCCACTTACATGTAATATAAAACGGAAAATTTATAGACTAAAGGGGAATTGTAATGTCAGAGAGTCAGTCTAGTAGGCTTGTACCCCTTCACAGTTGCATAATCAATTGCAAAAATTAGGAGCAGTTTTTAAAAAAAAAGCCAGTTTTCTCCAATGCTGGTCGGCCGACCAGCGTTGGGAAAAATACCATTTTTCTTAAAAACGTCAGCACGCCAGGAGCCACGATTTTACAGGATGCTTTAGAATGTCAGTCCCTAGCAATCCAGTAAGGTATTTTGTGATAATTTGATCATTTCGTTTTGTAATGTTTGCAAATGTTGTATCTTCCCTTTAAAATTAATGGGTTAAGTACAGGTACATGTAGCAATGTTGAGTTATCTTGAAAAAAAAACAACCCTCCTTTCTGTTTCTTTGCAGATTTTCCAACAATAGCCTGTAAGGTCTGTGGTGACCGATCCTCAGGAGTACACTATGGCATCATCTCCTGTGAGGGTTGTAAGGTGAGAAGAGATTTGTTATTAACATTTTATCATAATTGTCTTTTTTGGCCTCGGTCTTGGCTTAGACTGCAGCACTTGCTTGCTGAACGTGGTGCTAGTGTTCTAGCAGCGCTTATAAAAGGGAATGTACAACATTTGCTTTTGCTGCAATTTTCAGAAATAATGGATTTGGAGGATTAGTACCGGTATGTTAAAGCAAATATTGTTAAACTGACTTGTTTCACATTTTGGGCTTGTAGTTGCTGGAAAAACCAAGAAAACCTACCTTGTTCTTGTAGTCTGGTTCCCTGACCCCACTTAAGATGAAACAGAGCAATTAATAGACTTCGGGGAATTGTAAAATCAGAGAATTAGTCTAGCAGGCTTGTACCCCTTCAGGTGTGTAATCAATTGCAAAGAAAATGCGGAACAACTAAATATGAAAAAGTAGGAGCAGTTTTTGAACAAAAGCCAGTTTTCTCCAACGCTGGTTGGCAGACCAACGTTGGAAAAATACAATTTTTCTTGAAAATGTCAGCACACCAGGAGCCACGGTTTTAAAGGATGCTTCAGACTGTCATTCCCTAACAATCCAGTAAGGTATTTCGTGATAATTTGATCATTTCATTTTTGATGTTTGCAAATGTTGTACATGTATCTTCCTTTAAGCACCCGCTGCGCTTTTGGAAATGAGCGCTGCACTTTATTAACTTGGGCCGCTATGGTGCCGCTATGTTAAGAAAATATGCATGCTTTAAAAAATTATTTCGGTCCGTTTTGTTCATTTTCCATCGTTGGCTACAGTGCAGCATCTTTAAACGTCACGCACAGGCTGTACGGCACGACGTGAAGCTTTGAAAATAAACCTTGTACCTACATTTACAGGCACAAGGTTTATGTCGAGTAGGCCGACGCACTGTCATGCGTAAAAGTGTTTCCCCTTTCTAATGAACTGAGCAAGGAGGTAAAAATTCAAATTGATGATTGAAACAAACTTTATGCAGTCTGCAAACTGAAAACAAAAAGCGCTCACAAAAATGCGCAATGATTCCATCTACACATCCAAATTGTGAGTTCTTGATACATAGAGGTCCAGGAAAAGCTCATAAATTACACAAAATGTAAATTGTTTGATTTAGTACTTCCTTTATTGCAAATATTCACAGTGAGGTGGTGATATTGGCAAAAATTGAGTTAGGTGGTCACTGAGGTGGGCCACCTCACGTTTGAATGGGCAGGGGAAACACGGATGCGTATGTACATTTCTCGTATGCATTCTATACGAAGAACACAGGCAGTACCAGAACATGTAACTTGCATGTATTGTGCAGTGCAAGTGCTAGCACTCTCCACTGTCCACATGTGCGTGTCACACATGTGCGCGTCACATGTGCGCTTTGGACCACATCATTTGCGTCAAGGGGTGTGCTTTGGTATTGAACAATTTGCCTGCATTTCCATCGCTAATAACATTGCAAATAATATTTGTCAAGGAGTCATACAGATGCCCTTGTTTGAAAATGAGTTCTTCAATGTTACCATATAATTTTCGCAAAGAATTTATTCGAGTAAACGATGTAAAACTCCGAAAAAAAGATTGAATATTAAACCCCTGCAGATATGTATGGATCTGTCCATACAATGTCCGCAACTGGTTGAATTTTTTTTTAGAAGAAACTTGCGATCCAAAAAGCTGTTTTTGATGTTAGGACTCGTTGCTGCTAATAAATTTTTTAGAAGATTGGTACTAAAAAGAAACCTACAATGTATCTATTTTTAGGACAAAAAACAATCAGCAGTTTCTTGTCAGAAAGCCAAATCAGTGCTTCAGACATGCTCTGGCAATGACAGAACGCGCAATGCGATGTCTTGCTTTCTCAAGTGCGTGGGAGGAATTTTCTATGATTCTACTTCAGATCCTAGTTTGCTGGCGCCCCTGGCTGACGCTGGATAGGTAGCGATTCCCAACCTCTATTTCTCAACGTCATCATCTAAAATTACAGTACATTTTTACAATATAAAAATGATGATGCCTCCTACAAATTGTGTCGTACACTGTAGAAATTAACAATCGCTGATGGCTAGTTTCTGCCAGAGGACAGTACACATACGATGAGTCTGTTACAATTTCTTGCTGGCGATCTTGGTTTTATTTACAAATATAGGCCTGAAGCTGAGTGAAGTATTCTTGAAAATTGAAACTGGACGGACTAAAATTAAACCAAGACAATTTCAGGATAAATTCAAGGGTAAAAAACCTGAAACTTATGCCAAGGGGGAAAAGGGGGAAGAAACTTCGAGGACCGCATGGTTTCATTTGCATAGTCATGACATGACTGAAAGTAAAAACAGTCTAGGTGAAGAGTTGCAATGTATTTGCCCTTCTGTTTCAGTTTTACTTTGATTAAATTACACTGATTTCCAATTTCAGTTCATCGTATAATTAAATAAGTGTTCAAGCATTGTGTTCTACCCATACTTACATGTACATGTAATATTGATAAATCATAAACCTATCAACTTTTGACAAAACTTGGAGGAAGGAATACATGTACAATGTAGTACACACATCAGAAAGCAACAACCTAAAAATTATGTCATAGGCTACACCCTTTTCCAAAATAATATGGAAACAAATATGGAGATGGAAATACAGGGTTGTCCACTTTAAGTATGGAGAAACATTTTAAGAGCAAGAGTTAAGGACTTATATTTTAAAAAAATTAACAACATTTTGCTTACATTCTTAAAAACTGAGTGTTACAATGTATTTGAAAAGTGGCCAGGAATCGCCTCAGATTGCACCACAGAGCATCTAGAATCCAAAAGTTTACGGGCCCTTAAGTGGGCCCTGGACCCCACATGAATTAATTTGAGACATTTGAAAACAGGGTGTTAAAATTTGCATTGGAAGTTGTTAAAAGGGACATCCAGGTGGCTGTACCGATATTTCCATTGGGGGGGGGGGGGGGGGGGGGGGGGAATCGTGTTTTTTTGGTGACATCTGGGTTAGAGCAATTACATGTATGTGACTCTTCACACTCAAAATTCATACTCCCACTGCCAAACCTTGAGATCACATTTGACCCTATACTGTACATGAGCTCAACCCTGCTCAGTTTACACGTACGGTACCATATCAAATCTGGCCTTTTTACATACATGTACAAAATGTATGTATGCGCACTTGTATTGTACCAGTAAAAATCTACATCTAGGCCTAAATCAGTACATGGCTGAGCATAAACAACACAAGGTCCGGCCCAAGACCTCGACACCGTGCATCCTCCCAAATCAGCGGCACATTTTTGCCATGTACCGGTACATGTACATGTACCGGTACATTGTACATGTAGCCTCAATCCTGCAAAATCCTCCATTTTGAACAGAATATTTTGGAAGATTTAGGAAGGAAACAAAAGAAAGAAGAGAATTTGTTGAAGAGCACAGGGAACGCAACTTGAATATTGTGGTGCAGTGTGGCAGTTTAACGGCTTTTACCAAAGTATCTACAATGTAAGCCTCAACATATTGACAGTGATTGCGGGAGGATTCTGCAGGATTGAGGCAGCGGTCACATATACATGTACATGTACCCCTCCAAGAACCACACTCAACAAATAACGGAGGATTTTGCAGGATTGAGGCCATGCAATTTAACAAAGGGAACAAAGTACACTAATTTTATAATTTTTCTTAGGACAATAATGAGCAACTTGGCTCTTTTTATGTGTACAATGTATGTGCACTTGTACACTGCGCAACATTTACATGTTGGATTCTAATGAAGTGACTTTATTGACCCCAGGTCAACAGGTTCAGTGTGAAAACCCTGGGAGAAAGCTAAACATAAATTTGCAAATTTGAAAGAGGGGTTGTTGAAAATTCAGTGACGCTGCAGGTATGAGTTCGCTCAGGGGATCGACGCTCTAACTCGTGTGAAAAAAAGAGAAGAATATCGTGAGTAATATGTGTATAATACTTGCAGATTCAGCTACTTTTTCCTGTTCTTTAATCAAATTACTCCCAAGTCATTTGTTGTGTGTGTCTCCCAGGGGCCCCCTTACACATGATGTGTCAGACGGTTTTGCTTCTATCAAAACTCAGTTAAAACAGTTTTTGATCGGCTGTTGTCCAACTTGAACATGTGCACATACATGTATGGATTTAAATACTATTTTGGTGTCTGTGTTTACGTGTATGTGAACATGTTGTCACCGGTTTCACGAAGGGACGGACATGTGGATTTTGAAGAAAGAAAATGTTTTTGAGATAATCACAAGAGAAGTTTCTCCGTTTTTAAAACAGCAAAAACTACTACTTTGCAACAACTTTATGCAGTAAGGAAACATTGACGTAATTCTTTGATAGGTAAACTTTAATTTGAACCCAGTAATTATAATTAATAGAGTGGTTAATTAGCCAAAATTAATTAGTAAAGATGCCCGCCCCTTCGTGAAAGCGAAAATCCAACTGTTCCACATCTACGCCCTTCTTGTTTAATGTGCTTTTACATAGGGAAGGGCGCGCGTGTTCGATTACGTGCGCGCAGCTGAGAATGTAACAAAGATGCCCGTCCCTTCGTGAAAACGAAAATCTCCGTTGACTTTCTTTTACCGCCTTTCCGTGCAATATGTTTTGAACGTGTTCACGGGGACAGGCATGTTCGCGTCTCTTCGTGAAATTGCAAAATGCAATTATCGAGATGCCTGCCCCTGACGTCATAAATGTTATTCAGGAATTCATGATGTTTTGCGTACAGAAACATGTGAGAATGCTTAAGTACCATGTTTTAAAGCAAAATTGTGAAAAAAACCTTGAAATCGAAAAAATTGTCAATTTTGACATGCCCGTCCCTTCGTGAAATTGGTGACGATGTATGCACAGATACCACTGGGCGGGCCGTCACCGCGTTATGGGGAAGGTTTTTTTTTATTGTTAGGCAAATTAGGACCGAGTTATGGGGACTTTCTGCTGTCCCCACAGCGTCTTCAGTCCCCATACATGTACATGCCATAGTA